ATGAAGGGCCAGGGTTTGAGTTACATTCGAAAAAATAAACTCAACTTTTTCAAATCAATCATATTATTAATATGTATTTCGTCAAAACACAGTTACAAACAATTAATTAATAGTAATCTATTTATTAGAAATGTAAAAAAAAAATTGAGTTTAAGCACATTTAGTTAAAGCGATAATTAAAAACAAGAAGTAGGAAATAAGAAATAACATTAAAAATCCTAAAACAAGAAATAGGAAATAAAAAATCAAATTAAAAAGGTTGTTGAAAATTAGAGTATGTAATAAAAAAAACAAGAAGTAGGGGAAAAAAAAAACAAAAAAGCTGAAAAACAGTAGAGTAGGGAATCGAACCTAGGACCAAAACACAGCCTTACTAAGGACTCAACCACCAAACCATATTCAATATTGTGATATCTACTGTAAGTATATGTTATTTATAGCCTTTTACTGTATTTTCTTGATTTTTTTTTTTTTTTAAAAAAAACTTTTTTTCCGAAAATGGGGGGACAACTGTCCCCCCTTGTTCTAATGTGGCTCCGCCACTGGTTGCTTACACTCTGGAGTTACCAGCAGGTTCAAGAATACACCCTACTTTTCATGTGTCATTACTCAAGAAACACCATGGTCCTGTTCTAAATGTCTCTTATTCGAATCAAATCCCACCCTACCCACCAGAGCAACCTGAAACCAGAATTCCCATAGGTGTGCTTGACAAAAGGAGTGTGAAAAAGAGGAATCATGTTGTAGTGCAGTGGCTTGTTCAATGGAATCAACTGCCTGCAGAAGAAGCAACATGGGAAGATGCTGCAAAGATTGAAGAGCTTTATCCTAATTTTGATCCTTGGGGTCAAGGATCCTCTAATGGGGGAGGTATTGATACAATTGCCAGAATGGAAGCTGAGCTAGAAGGTAGCAGCACAAAAGAAGATGAAGTGGCAAGTCCAGAGCCGAAGAATGCAGAAGAAAAGGCAGCATAGAATGAAAGAATGGCAGCTGGAAGAGGAAGCTTCACAGAAAGAGAGGGGAAGAATAATGCAAAGAATATTAGCTAGGATGGAAAGCTGTAATTTGTCATCTAGCTAGTTGTTATTTTGTAACTGTTATGCTATTTTGTCTCTAGTAAGCCAGCCATTGTAATGAATTATGTTAAACTTTGATTAATGAAATTCCCCTATTCTCTGCATTCTATCTCTATCATCTTCTCTATTGTTACTCATACAATTAATTCCAACGAGCTTCCCTGCTTTCTCTTTGGCTAGCTTCCTGGATTAATTGATTCAGACCTCCATTTTGCTTAGCAGAATCAGGTTTGACCTTTGGTTCTTATCATCATACTTTTATTTTCGATTGGTGGTGTGATTTGGTGCGCTGGTGGTGCGATTTTGTGGGGGCAAATTGGTGGTGACGATTTGGGTGCGAGTTGGGTTTGATTTGGGTGCGAGTTGGTGGCTAATTGTCGCGATTTGGTGTGTCGATTTGGTGGTAGCGATTTAGGCTGGTGGTGCAATTATGTGGGGGTGAATTGGGGGCGAATCGGTGGCGAAGATTTGGGTGCAATTTGGGTTTGATTTGGTTGTGATTAGTGGTGGCGATGTTGTGACGAATTGTTGCAAATCTGATGTTTGGGGTATGACTTGGAGCAGGGGAGCAGTGAAGAAGATAGGGACATGTGCCTAGCTAGTTGATATCATATATGGGTAATGGATTAGATTATATCATTTATTGGGTTTATGATATTATATCCTCTTTCTCTTAAGATGAATGATATTATATACAAGTATTTTTTTTACGGCTTTTTCACCAAATGTCACTGAGTACTTAAAAAATTCACAAAATGCCATCAAGGTTTTTAAAATTCACCAAATGCCATCGAGCTTTTAAAAATTTCACCAAATGCCATTAATGACTAACGACCGTTAACTCCGTTAGTCATTAAGATTATAGGCCGTTAACTCCGTTAGTCATTAAGATTATAGGCCGTTAACTCCGTTAGTCATTAAGATTACATCTTAACACATGTCATAATATGATTGGTTCAGTTTAATTATTTATTTTAATTCATAAAAATAATTTTTTTTTTCTTCATTTCCGTGGAAAAAATTGCTCGGGTATAGTTTTGGGGGTCATTTTGACCCTTTATGGATACAAATTAAGCTCGGAATTGACAAACAAATAACGTAAATGCTCCGTTTTGTGTGTTGAAAAATATTTCGATTAGCTTGTCGTTATTTTTTAACCATCAAAATTGATCGGGTAAGGTTTTTGGGGTTATTTTGACCCTTTATGGGCACAAATTAAGCTGAGAATTGACAAAAAATAACGTAAATGCTCCGTTTTTTGTGTTGAAAAATATTTCGATTAGCATGTCGTTATTTTTTAACCATCAAAATTGACCGAGTAAGGTTTTGGGGGGTCATTTTGATCCTTTATGGTAATAAATTAAGCTCGAAATTGAGTAAAAAATAACATATATGCCCTGTTTTGTATGTCGATATTGTATTTTTTTTGGGAAAAAATGCAAAATGGGGTATTGACGTTTTTTTTTTTCCAATTTCAAGTTTAATTTGTAGGCATAAAGGGTCAAAATGACCCCAAAACCTTACCCAAATAATGTTCGTCACGAAAATCGAAAAAAATATTATTTTTATTCAATAAAATAAATAATTATTGTGTATTAATTTTAAAAAGTAATGGCATTTGGTGAAATAATTTTCCAAAGTAATGGCATTTGGTGAAATAAGAATTGCATTAACTTAAAACTAACGTTCATATGCTATTAGTGGCACGAGGTGTCATTGTATTATTTGTCAGTGGCTAAGATGAATTTTGAAAACTTTGATGGCATTTGGTGAATTTTGTAAGTACTCATTGGCATTTGGTGAAATAGCCATTTTTTATGATATCCTCTATTATTTTTGTAATATCCTTTATTGGCTGGTTGATATCCTATATTGGCTAAATGATATCATTTATGATTGTGTCTATGATATCCTTTATTGTCTAGATGATATCCTCTATTGGCTATATGATATCATCTAGCCAGTAGAAGATATCATCCAGCTAATGGATGATATCATCAAACCAATAGAGGATATCATCCAGCTAATATAGGATATCATTCAGTCAGTAGAGGATATCATCCAGCCAATAAAGGATATCATATAGCCAGTAGAGGATATCATTCAGCCTATAGAGGATATCATCCCTGAGGATATCAAAAATCCCCTTTTTATCAGTTCCGACTGACGAAATGTTTCGTCAATCACAATACCTTCTCATAAGAAAAAGTCGAATGAACATTAATTTGGATTTAAAGTCAATTTCATAAGGTAGACTATTGAAATGAAACTATTTATAATACTTTCTAAAGTGAGCAAGTTAGTCATAATTTTTTTTTTTTGTTTTTTTTAATAGCATGTTAGATTCATAAACTTATGCACTTCTCAAATTCGTACTAAAAACATTTATTAATGCTAAATTAAATAATGAATAAATAATTTATTATTAATCTCTATTTTTTTATATATTAATATTTTTTGCAAAAAGATGAACATGTGAACATATTATACTCATTAGAGAATTTTGTTATGATATTCATGTTCATTTTTAATATACAAATGTTTAATTTTTTCTTTGAAGTGTTCATTTTTTTATTACTGAATATATATTTTTTTACGTGTTCATTAGAGCATTCTATTATGGTAATCATATTCATATTTAATATATGGAAAAAGCTAACGAACGCCCCCGGGGCGTTGGATAAGCTACGTAAAAGTAGAAAGATTAAATTAAAATAAACATTAATTACATCGATCGACGTGTGATTTTGTCATGCTTTTCCAAATTAATACCATTTTAGGCAATATTTTAAATGCTTATCCAACGCTCCGGGGGTGTTCGTTAGCAAGATCCTTAATATAGTTAGTGTTCATTTTTATTTATTTGAAGTGTTCTATTTTTATTACGTTTTTTCACTTAATTCACCATATACTATAGGACTTTTTAAATACATCATATACCCCTTAGTTTACACAAAAATGCATTAAATACCCTTAATGAATACAAGATGCATGAAGTTTAGTTGATTAATCCCCAGAATCACCATAGATCCCTTCCCCCAATCTTGAAACACCCTCATTCCTTCCCCCACGTACTCCTAAAACCACCCTTAGATCTCCTTCTCCCACCCACTTGCTTAATAATATTCTTTGTTTCAAATGTGGTGGGAGGAAATTTGGGGTGGTTTTAGGGGTGGGTGTAGGGAGGTAGGATGATTTTAGGGGTGAAAGAAGGGATATGGGATGGTTTTGGGACATAATTAGCCCAAATGACTAACAAAGATAAAATTGGTAATTATTAAGAGTATTTAATGTATTTTTTAATGTTTTTTTTTTTGAAAATTCAGGGGGTATATGGTTTATTTACAAAATTCAATGGGTATATAATGGATTAAGTGAAACTCGGGGGTATTTTGTGAAATAACGTGAAATAGTTTAATGAAAAATTCTCCACCTTTTGATGAGCCGATCATTGAATTTTCCCTTTAAATTTCTAAATGATAAGCCTCGCCTTGAATTTCTCCAATTCTTGTTACTTCTCTTTCTAAGTTCTCCCTAAAACAAGTTCAATATACGTCAATAGAGTTTGTTGTGTTCAACCTTTAAATTTCATAAATGCAGGGGCAATTACAAGGGGAGCCCCGAGCCGTCACTAAAGTCGCTCTCCCTTATAGCTAACCTTGATCAAGCCTATTAATTTTTAGTTGAGTGCATTCAAAGTATAATAAAAGAATAAGGTAAACCTATAATAATTAAATATGATGCTAATAATTATTTTCTTTTAAAGACTTGATCAATCATGAAAAATAATTCCATTAACGTTGTTTTTTTTTTCGGGACAAGTTTTGCAAGCGTTGACTTTCTGTTGACTTTCTCTCTAGGCGATTTCCATGGTGATTTGAGTTTTCTAGGTCGGGATATTCATCTAGCTTCTTCTTCATCATGGCTCGAAAGAAGAAATCTTCAACTCCACTCCCGCAAAACACTAATCATGCTCATCTTGATAGGACTCTGGATATGAGAAAATCTAGAATCTCTTCAACTGAACCGATTGCTGAAGAAGGTGAACTGGTCACTCCTCCTCCACATCTGGTACATCCATCTGGTGGAATGATATCCAGAGGTGAGGTAAGAATGCTTGAAATGTCTTATAGAAGTCCGATTGCTCAATCTCAAGCTAGAACCAATGGAACAATAACTAGGGTTTCTGCGGTTACTGTTCCATTGATTTCTACGCAAAATCAGACCCCGATAGTTCCCTCTACTGCTATTCTTGAAGCTTCTGGGGTTCCTGGTGGCTCGAATCAAGTTCCTGAAGCTCCTGCTGAAGAATGGAAGGATCTATTCAAAGGGAAGCTTAATGCAAAAGGGACCTCTCTGTCTTTCATTGCCCCTGAGATCAGAGATGGAAAATCGATTGCTAAGCTTAGCTCTGCTGATATTTGTGAGGGCAACAAAAAATGGGGTAATGCTCTTATCTTTTATGTTGTTGGTTACTCTCCCACTATTTCTGCAGTTCATAAGTTAATTGCTGATAATTGGAGTAACATTGCTAAACTAGACATATTTTGGCATGATGAGGGTTATTTTATAATCAATCTGAAATCTAATGATGATAAGAATGCTATTCTATGTTCTGGTCCTCACATGTTCTTTGGTAAGCCAGCCATTGTTAATGCATGGTCTGACAAATTTGATTTCCATGCTGAAATATTGAGAACTGTCCCTCTATGGATTAAGCTTCCTAATTTGCCACTGAACTGCTGGGGAGCTGAAACCCTAAGCAGAATTGGTAGCCTACTTGGTGTTCCAGTCTGTGCTGATGAGTGTACCTCTAGGCAGCTAAGGGTTTCTTTTGCTAGGCTTCTTGTTGAAATTGATGTTACTAAGGCTCTACCTAGCTCTTTGTGGGTTGAGAGTCCTGCTGGGGAATTGATTGAGATCACAGTGCATTATGAGTGGACCCCTCCTTTTTGTAAGAAATGTGATAAGGTTGGGAATGACTGTTCCAAGTCTCAACCTATTAAAAAGAAGAAAACAGGTGATCCAAAGACCACTCAAACTCAGGCTAAGAAAGTCTAGGTTCCTAAGAAGATTACAAAGGTGACTGCTGAGGTTACTAAGGTTCATGCTCCTGTTAAGGAAGTTACACCCCCCCTCAGACTCAGAACAATGATGATTGGCAAATTCCTGGCAAGAAATCCAAGAAAAAAGCCAACAGACAGATCAATTTCCATGTCTCTAGTTCAAATGTTTATCAACCTTTAACTTTGGATACTTGACGAGGGGAAAACTAGGTCGTTATCTAATCTTCCCTCGGTCAAACTAAATTTATAAACACTTAACAAACCTAAATACAAGTAAGGCAAGTCAAGGTCGAACCCAAAGGAACGATAATGTTCAAGCACTTTCAATTATGCGCCTAAGCTAGGTTGAAATAAAAGGGTAAAGGGAGAATACTAACACCTAACAAAACAAGTAACCAAAGAAAAAAAACACTAGGAACGGGGATCAACAAGTAATCATGTCAATTGCAACAACTTGGAAAGATCAAGTCAATCAAAGGTTGTGAAGACTAATGATATGAGCAATCCATTGGAATCAAAGAGCTATCTCCTAATTGTTAAGCTAGGGTTCACTATGAATAACAAACTAAGAGAATCACAATCAAAACCAATCGATAATTGCAATTACTAAATCAATTGTTCGTGTCATTAGCAATTACAATGCAATCTAGCATAATTCTCGAGGCCTAATCGCATTACACACATGCAAACCTTCATTAATCACTTTAATCTCAACAATGAATCAACACAATTCCCAAATTAATCACAATTAATCAATCATACAAGTTTCACCCAATTCCTAGCCAAGAAACTATTCAAGAATCATCATCTATCAACTAACAACTATGGAAATCAATAATCAAATATATATCAAGAATAACTACACTAATCAAGCATCAAACATCAAAATCAATCCAAACAAACATGAAATTAAACAAAGCTTTAAGGTGAGATAGAGTTAAGAATGCTCATTGATAATAGAGAAGATCTTGAACACAATTGTCACCCTTGTATCTTCAATCTCTCAATCACCATTAAAATCCTTCACTTTCTCTCTCTAAAACTACTCCTAATCTAGCTTAATCTAGAGAGACAAGCTCTCAACCTAAGAGAAAAAACTATTCTAAGACTAAGAATTATGTGAATGAATGATAATAAAAACACCCCAAAACAATCTATAAACAAAAGGAGAAAAGAAGCTTAAAATCGTAAAAGACCCAGAAGTCCGCGCCCTCGGAGAAATCGGCCGCGCCCGCGGACTACCCGAAAGCCCGCGCCCGCGGCCAGCCCGCAGAGAGTTACTGCCCAAAATCGGCAGAAATAGGTTACGGAAGATTTGCAGGGCCAACTTTGGAAGGTTGTTACTCATGATCTAGGAAAGTATGAAGGCGTTCGACCTATCATTGGAAAGCTCTTCAATTCTAGTTTCCAACCCAACTTGAATCACTTCAATCCGATTAGTAGAACTAGAGATATGGCCGAAACAATGCACAAAGGTCCTTTTTGATACTTTGTAAGCCTTCATTTTCCTTTGTTTCTTGGATTGGCTTGACTTGCGTGCTTGGCTTCCCTAACTTGGCTCCGTTAAATTCCTTGAATGCACTTGAGCTCCCTCCTTGATGATTTAATCCCGGGAAGCTCGACACACCTACAAAACAAGTCAAACAAACGGAGAAGCGAGGGAAAAAGCCGAGAAATGAATAAAATAATAAGAAAACCACTAAAGGCACGCATTTCTCTAAACTAACACACAAACACGCAAATCAAGCATTATTCCCTAAAAACACGACATAAACAACTAAAAACGAGCATAGAAATATAAAGAAAACATAGCCTAAAGGTGCCATAAATGGCACGGATCAAATTCCCCCAAGCTAAACTTTTGCTCGTCCTCGAGCAAAATAAAATCCAACCCAAGGGAAAAATGATGAATTTATTCAAGAAAATAAAGAAACAAGAAAGAAATAGGATGAGAATATACACCAACTCACTTTTGTAGGAATCACGATCAATTTTAGCAACTAAAGACAAGCCATTTAAACCCCTAGATCGCCCTAGAGAACGAGTGATGCTCTCGTAAAGGTTTCCTAAGATATTAACCCATAACTCTCATAATAATACAAACAAGGCAAAGCATAAAGAAGGAAATCATAAGAAAAGAAGAGCAAACACATGTTCATGAAAGGACTTTTTAAAATGTACAAGCACAAATGAATGCAAATCTTTCTAAATAAGTAAGGGAGTGCACGCTCCAAGATACCTAAGGTTGATTGAAACATAAATATGATAAGCATAGGAACTAGTTATCACACTCCACTTTCATCCCAAACGGTCTTACCGCGTTCCCCCTACTAATCTCATATCTCCCCTTAGTGAGTGTCTCATAGATTCCACGAAGGAACCAGAAAAAGATCAAATTTTTGGCTTACTCGACATCTTGACTTCGCATCCCCTTTCCTTAGGCTATAACCCATGATTCCCTCCACCGATGAATGACTCAACCCCTAGGTCAAAAGGTCTTCCCAAAGGTTTTAACGTAAGGAAAAAAGGGTTAAGGTAGGCTAAATTTAAAATTTGGTGGTTAACCTAAATTGTGAAGCAAAGATTGCACATTTCTTTACACCATAACCAAGTAATCACCAAACAAAAATACCAACACCCCCAATCTTATTCAAAGCTAAGATCACAAACATATACACAAAAAGCGTGAGAACGCTTCAATGGAGCATTGTCCTCAATGCTCAAAAAGGAAGAATACTCACATAAAAATATTTTTGCATTTTTCACTTTTTTCATTTTTTTTTCATAATTCTTTATTAGTGCTTTGTCCTCGCCTCTTTTAACTTTGGTCGGCTTTTACAACTTTGCACTTGCTTTGTCCTTGCCTTTTTTTTTTTTTTTTTTACTTTGGACGAATTTTTTCATTTATTCACTTGCCACTATTCACAAAATATACACAAAAACACGATCTTGCTTTCATTTTTAACCAATAACCAAACTTATATACCACAATCTCCAAAATATGATCATTTGCTTCACAAAAATCCAAAGATGAAAAAGAAAATGAAACAAAAGGCTCAAGATCTAAAGATGTGGCTTGAAAAGAAGGGAAAAAGGCTCAAGGGCTGGCAAGAAGGAAAATGTATCCGAAAAACCAAAAGTAAAAAGAAGGACACTATCCTAGTAAAAGGAAAATACCTCCCCGAAAAGATGCCTTTGTCCTCCCTAGGTGGTTCGGTCTCGGTCTTAGGAATCATACGTCAAGATTCTAGATTAGGTCCGCAATAGTCAAGGATCCATGCCGCTCATGCAAGAATATGTTGAAAGCTTGAAAAAGTATGAATCTCACATGGTTGTAGAAAAAACTCACTAAGGTTGTCAAATCGAAGATAGGGAGCAACTACCAAACGTGCCACAAACAAGTAGAATCCGGCTTCATGATCCCCCTAGTTCTAGACAACTACCTTAGCATGCTTTATCCTAGAATCAACCAAACGTAATCTCAAACAGTGCACACCACTACCACTTAGGAAGAAAAGCATTCAAGTATACAAGTCCAATTGTTATTATGTCCAAAGCAAGAACAAAACAAAACACATTTAAAATTTGCCTTGATAAAAACAAAAATCTTTTTGTAGTTTTTCAAAATATGAGAACATGGAAAAGCATATACAAAGGTGCATGACATATATGAATCAACATTCCACCAAACATGATAGAATACCCTCCCCCAAGCTTTAATGAGACAACATGCTCAAACATAAATAAAATATTCCACGGGAGGGGAAAAACAAGGAGATTAATCCAATCAAACCAACATATGTCCAACAAGTCATCATCCACTAGAGAAAGAGGAAGGAAGGATATTACCGGATACTAGGTGGGTGTAAATACCCGCAAATGACCCAATTTTAACCTTTCAAAGCTAACAACCTCTAATATTGAATCTTGCCTTCTATATGCTAGCAAATGTGGTGCCAATCTTCCTTGATTCTTGATCCAAATAGAAGCACCAAAGTATATCAAGTCATGTACCTAGCAAAAGGAACACAAACATTTCCATGAGAGAAAATCTATTCTAAAAAGGAAAGAAAATGAAAGCAATAAAACACGGGTTACTTCCCGAGAAAGGCTTGCTTAAGGTCCAAGCTTGACCGCTCTAGAAAATAATAATTCAACGCGCGCAAGAGCTTGTCAAATGCACTACTACACATTTCATATGAAAGCAAGTGTGCACATGACAAAAATAAGGCATGAAACAAGCTTAGTGCACACCTATGAGGAGAGAGATGCCAAGAGAAGGAAGAACAATCAAAAGAAAACTCAACAAAATAAGAAAAGGAAAAAGAAAAAGAAGAAGAAGGTAAACTCTCCTCACAATATTTTTGGGTGGCAACATCACCCTTTTCCTCAATTTGGGACAAATGAGCCACATACAAATCATCATAGACAAGAGGGTCCCCAATAGGCTCATTAACAAAGGAAGGGAGGGATATAGGAGTGTAGGGGATATGGTTGAATCTTCTTGAAAAATGGGTATGAGAAAAGAGAAAAGGGGCTATGGTCTCACAAATGAACTTTTTCTCACCACCATGCCTCAAATCACCAATAAGAGCATGGAAATCAATCATAGAATCCTCAAATGAAGAACACTCATGATCACCATCTCCCTCAAACATCCAACTCTCAAGAGGAACCACATAATATCCTCCACTACATTCATGGACAACAACTCCCTTAACTTCCTTAAAGCCCAAAGTCTCGAAACCATGCATGAATGGATGTAAATTTGTTTCAAAATCATCTCTCTCCCATGAAGAATTCTCAAGGAACTCACTTAGAAGGCTATGGGTTTTCCTTTGACTCTCAATAAACATATTAGACATAACCTCAAACAAGTCCAAACACTCATGGATAGAAGAGTCACATTCATACACTTGAGACTCATCACAATCAACTAAGGAAGGGGAATTTAGATTCACAAAATCATCATAATCATCATCACTCTCAACTCCC